AATTAAATCCTTCCTTCTATAATCCTCAGTCTAGCAACCTCTTTACAAATATTGCACCCTAAATTAGGCAATCTCATATACACTTTTCTCTTAAATCCCTCTGACCAGGTCTCTGTGGTTCGCCATTGATGGTATTCCATATAAGCTGTCTGATTTTCGACCAAGTATTTTAAATGATTTGCAAGGTCTTCGACGTTTGGATAATCTTCAATAAAAATTGCTGATTTAGGATGCGGTACGTAAGAACGACTATTAGGTGCACCCCATATAATAGGTACGACTCCTAACTTAAATGCATCCCAAAGCTTTTCTGTAGAATAATCTTGATATTGTGAATTCTCAATAGATAGATAAAAAGGGTATTTTTGGATAATACAATCCTTTGCTCTAAAATCTTCGTAATAATACGAGGTATTTTTCTCAAAAGCTGAACATTCTGGATGTACATTCCAATCAGTATTCTTATAAACCTCACCAAAAGATGCGATAGGGATGTGGGCCTGAAGCTTTGGAATCCAATCTCTACGGAAATCAGTCCAGTGGGAAGCAATGAAGGAAACAAGTGTCGAATTTTTTGTGAGGTTCTTTATATTCAAAGGTTGCCTTTTTAGCCATTCTGTAGGATCTTCTCGAATGTAACTTGTAGGTACGTCCGATTTTTCATCGTATGTTGATTTAATATCAAATCTCTCCATTTGATAATAACACCATAGGCAATTAGGAGGTTCATTTGTATATCGTATAAACTTTTGACCTTCCCATGATTTTACATCTGGCAGCTTTATTTGATCTACACAAAATAAGCCGTCAGCCGTTTTAAGCTCTTCAGGTGTTAAATCGTCTAGTTCTGTCATATTCCAAATACATGGTATATCACAATTTAATAAGGTTCCATCATGATTATATTTGAGGTGCTTCACATCCATTCGACCATACTGTTTAGCTGATATTAAGTATATTTTCACCTTTTGATTTTTATTTAGATAACTTGTTAAATAATGCCTTCTTTTCCATTCTAGAAGACTTGTAGGCCTGGTTTTAAGCTCATTTATTAGTGTCAAATTTGTTGAAAAATATGGTTCAACCATTATTTTGTTTGTACTATTTAAGATTGTCATAATAAACAATAGAATAATAAAGCATAATGCAAATATCGCATAAATAACATGTAATATTCGTTTGGTAAAGAAAGACATTATTGCCAATAATGTGTATTATACAAAATGTCCATACATTAAATGTATTAATGAAGGTATTTATATTAAAATTCAGTACATCATCCGCATGTAACAAATATAATCTGCATGTACTGTAACCAGGAGTGCGTGCAAGAGATAATGTGCATACTAAATACCGACTAATGTATCCGGCGTGACAAATAATGCAGTGCAATTTTTACATTATTTATGTGTGACTTATGATGTAAACAATTGTGTAATAGACGTGATTTTTCTTTTGCCAGTGCACTACAGCATAGAATCAGAGCACAGATCTTATTGTAAAATGCCGGTGATTTCCGCTTGCACATAGGGTACGGAATCTGGCAGGGCTACCAGGCCAGTAATTATAGCGGCCGGGCTTTATAAAAAAGCCTACAAACTATAGTTGGCAGTAGAATTACTGAATTACGGCATTACGGCATTTTACCAATTGGTAGAATTACAGCTGTTTTCATAAATTCTGGGACACCTGATAAAAATTTGCCGAATGATTTTTCGGCCGATTCGATTAAGTTA